AACAACAACAACAACAACAACAACAACAACAGCTCAGGACAAGGCAGGTGTCAGAGCTGCTGTACATAGGGTTGCTATGGGTCACAGGTGACTCAACAACACATAACAACAACGGTTGATCAGGTCTGGACCTTGAATCCTCTAGCCGTCTTGGGATCTTGGCCAGTCCTGAGGTTCCGTGGCTCTGTGATTCTATGGTTCCATATTCTAAGACCAATAACAACAATGCCAGTGCCCTACGAAGCTTGGCATGGTACAACATGATCTAGACAAGAATACCAACCAAATAAGTCTCTGTCATTTGAGCCCTTTAGCTCCACCGTCATGAATACACGTTCTGCAGAGAATCCTGTAGTGCTTCCTCTAGAAGTCCATCTTTCAAATCTGCAGAAAGCAAAAAAACCCTTTGTGCCCACAAATGCCTTTTCAAAAGCATTGGCTTCAAAACTGAAAATCTTTGGGGTAAGTAAAGGTTGTCTTAATGATGCTTTAATGAGGAGGAAAGTGAGAAGGGAGAAAAATGTAGCACATGTTTTAAGGCGGGAATTAATTTTGATGTTCATTTCCAGTCAGTTCAGGAAATACTAATCACATATCTGTGCCACCAAAATCTGAGACTCTAATGAAGAAAATCGAAGACAACTAAGCCAAAGTCATTGAGTTCTTGAAGGTCACAAAGTAAAAAAAGAATTATCAACTGATCGTTTAGGAACTACTTCTGGTCAAGTTCACAGAAGAGAAAGTAAGATAAAATGTGGATTAAAACTCTCAAAAAGGCCAGGCTTACTGGTCCAGCAGAGACTGGTGGAATCCCTGATAATATGATGAGGGTGGCACAGGGCAGGGCAGAGTTCAGATCTGTTGTGTAGAGAATCGCTATGAGTCATACTTAAGACCCGTAAGAACAACAGTACGGCCCTTGGTCACTCTTTGAACATGGACCAAAATTCACCCCTGGGGCTCAGCTTCCAGCCAAACAATAGACAGGTCTATAGACAAGAACTTGGAAGGAGGAGTGGCATCCACTTCCATAATAGCTTGCCTCCGGAAACCCTATGAACCTGGAGAGAGGATGAAAGGCACCCAAACGTCGAGGACTCTCCTTCATAGGGTTGCTATGAGTTGCCTGCGACTTGACAGCCCTTAACAACAACAACAACAACATAGACAAGAACACAAGGAAAGCACGCATCCCTTATCAAAATCAACCACCTAGGGGCAAAAGATAAACCCCAGAAGGCAAGTAGTGGTAAGACAGAAGGATTAATAGAGGTGAGAGTTTCAGGGAGAAGTAGGGAAAATGGAATTACACTGTAGAGTTGTAATGCATGTTATGAAACAAAACATGTTTTGTTGTTGTTGTTATGTGCCGTTAAGTGGTTTGTGACTCATACATAGTGACCCTGTGTACAAGAACCCTAAACCCTGCTCTATCCTGCGCCAATCTCATTGTCTCCAACACACCTTCTCGCACAACCCCAACCACTGAATTGATCCATCTCATTGAGGATCTTCCTCTCCTGTGCTGTCCTTCTACTCTCCCAAACATGATGTCCCTCTCCAAGGACTGGTCCCTCCTTGCAACATGTTCAAAATACATCAGATGAAGCTCCAGAATCCTTGATACCAAGGAGCAGCCTGGTTTCACCCTCTCCAGGACAAACCTGTTTGTTCTTCTAGCTGTCTATGGTATATTCAACACTCTTCTCCAGCACCACAGCTCAAAGGTATCCATTACCTTTCTATCATCACACTCTTCTCCAGCACCACAGCTCAAAGGTATCCATTACCTTTCTATCATCCCTAGTCACAGTCCAGCTTTCCGATGCATGGCACACAACTGCAAAGATGATAGTCCATATCAGGTGCACCTAAGTCTCCAGCCTGATGCCAGTACTCTTCCGTACTCTGGAGAGGTCCTTGATGGCTGGCTTTCCATGCGTGAATAAAACCCCAATATGTTTTGCAAACTTTCACTCAAATTACAATAAAAGACAAATTTATGGAAAAGAAAGTCATAAAAATGATACTAGAGAAGTAGAATAGGCAAGCTATCTCTGAGCTGTGGAGTTCTATAGGGCCTTATTTCTCCAATTAAAAGTCAGAACCCATTTTAATAACATACCCCTCCCTGTATATTTGCCTTGGCACCCTCAGTCACAAAATCAAAAGATTAATTGCATTAGGGAAATTTGCTGTCAGGGACTTCTCCAAAGTGCTGAAGAGCAATAATGTCAGTCTAGAGACTAAAGTGCACCAATTCAGTCCTTAGTCTTCAGAATTATTTGCCATGCATCAGAGAGCTG